GGGGGTGAGTCGGAGGTGTGGGGGGGCTCGAGGGGGGGAGCGCCCTCTTCCAGGAGAGGAGCCAGGAGCAGGAGCCGGAGGGTGGTGCGGGGAACCGGGGTACCTGGGAGCGTGGCTGATGAGCAGCTGCGGGAGGTACCGGGGGAAGTTGTAGGCGCGGAACTCAGAGAGGGCCGTCACACCAGGCCACGTCTCTTCTGTAGGGGTCCCTGCGGAGCGAAGGGGGTGGGGAGGGCACGGATGAAGGGCTGGGGCCAAGGCCAACTTGGAAGGGGTGCGATGACTTGGAAGGGGTGAACGTAGGAGCTGAGCGCAAGGACTGGACGAGGCCACAGGGGTTCCCCGCATGCTGGGAACAGGCTGAGTCGCTCTGCCCAGTCCCCAATATGGGCCTGGGCTGGACGGAGTTCCGGCGCCCCCTGGTGGCGACAGGGAGGAGCGGCAGGAGACTGACCGAGGAGGCGGAAGATGAGGTGCAGCTCCTCTTTGACCGTGGAGCCCGGGAAGAGGGGCCTGCCTGTGGCCATCTCGTAGTGGATGCAGCCCACGCCCCTGCGGGGAGCAAGCGGGCAGAGACGGCGTCAGACAGGGGCGGCCGTCCTTTCAAGGGCTGCTCCACCAGGCTTCCAAAGACGCCCTGTCACAGGTGGCTGCAGGGGTCACGGCTCTGGGGGCTGAGGGGTGGTCCAGGGCAGTGGGCTCCTAGGACTCCTAGGACTCCAGCCCCTCTCTGCGGGCTTCCCTGGGCTCTGGGAAGCTGTGACCTCTCCCCTTCACTCTATGAGGTTTGGGTCTGCATAGCCAGCGCCCATGCAGCCATTCATTTAGCAGTGCAGTCTTAGACTCTCGGCTGTGTGCCCTCACTGGAGGACAGAGGGGCATACATCCATTCTCCTGGGAACCCTGGGCAAGCACAGCAGCCATTGATCAAAAACCTGTGTCTTGACTTCATATTTGGGCTGATTTTTAATTTTACACCAAATCGTATGCTTGCTAATTTTAACATCACAACAATGCTTCCCTTCCAAAATTTTCTGCTCTCCTGCACCCTCTGGTCTCTGGTAACCACCCATAGGCTCCTGAGGGAGTCTTTCAGAAGCACAGTTTTGGGGGGGTCTACTGAAATCAAGAAGCCCCACTCCGTTTCACGCTGAATGTTTCGACATCCGGTTTAGTAGGATGTCACATGGCTTTTAGTTCAAGGAGATTAGGCTGTTCGTCCTAGAGGTCCCTCCTCCTTCCCTCGGTCTGACGGTGCTCACTCACCACATATCGATAGGGGTGGAGTACTCTGTGGATCCCAGCAGCACATCGGGGGGCCTGTACCACAGGGTCACCACCTCATTGGAGTAGGTCTTTGTAGGCACGGACTTGGCCCGGGCCAGTCCTAGGGACAGACATGTCACTGGACCTCTGACCACAGGTGCTGGAGGGTCAGCCGCTAAGCCCTCCCCCACTGCACCCATGCCCCAAGGAGACTGGGCACCCCAGCAGTGTCAGACCCCCACCTAGCCCCAGCCTCACCAAAGTCAGCCAGCTTCAGCTCCCCCCTCTCGTTGATGAGCAGGTTCTGGGGTTTCAGGTCTCGGTGCAGGATCTTGCGGCGGTGGCAATAGGCGAGGCCCCGGAGCAACTGGAACATGAAAATCTGGGAGGAGAGAAGAGGAAGGTGACGTGGAAGGCAGCCCTGGGCCTCTGCCCCAAGGCTGGGACAGCGATGGGGACAGGGACTTGGTGGAGGCTCGGCACACAACTCTGGTTCTTCTGCCCATCCTGAAGCCCCATCCACACCAGGGAATCCTATCCACAGGGGAGGGCACCAGTCCCAAGGAGGAGGTACTGAGCACCTTAGCGGTGAGGGTGGCCCCATGGGTCAGGAAGCCTGCCTATGTGGGGACGTATGTGCTTGATTCTTTTTGTTTTATTTTGTTTTTACAAAATTTTGTAGAGACAAGATCTTGCCGGGTTGCCCAGGCTGGTCTCGAACTCCTGGCCTCACGCAATCCTCCTGCCTTGTCCTCCCAAAGTGCTCGGAATATGGGCATGAGCCACCGTGCCCAGGCACACTTGTTCTTTTTTTTTGGAGTTGGAATCTCACTCTGTTGCCTAGGATGGAGTGCTGTGGCACGCTTCCAGCCACCGCAGCCATGACCTGCTGGGCTCCGGCGATCCTTCTGCCTCAGCCTTCCAAGTAGCTGGAACTACAGGCGCGCGCTACCACACCTGGCTAATTTTTTGATTTATTGTAGAGATGAGGTCTCGCCAAGTTGCCCGGGCGGGTCTCGAATCCGCGGGCTCAGGCAATCCACTCACCTCAGCCTCCCAAGGCGCGGGATTACAGGCTGAGCCACCGAGCCCGGCTCACACTTGTTCTTTAACCAACACCTGGATAAGCCATTTGTCCTTCTGAGCTTCTTTAGAAGTCTCCCTCCATTCTGGCAGGCAGCTCATGCTCCCATTTGACAGATGGGGAAACTTATCAGATGCTCAAAATTCGGAAGGAGTTTTAATTCACCATTAGAGTTTTAGTCCACAGAGAGCGTGTTTCTGTTCCTGGGGTGAGGTGCCCAGTTCAGCTCAGTTCCTGGACTCGGGAATGGCAGTGCCCTTTCCCTCTTTCCCATGCGTAAAGGTCCGAGCAACCCCAGCAGCTAAGCCCTGGTGGCGAGAATGGGTTCCCACGTGGGGCTTCAGGACAGGTGGGTGCCTAGATGGGGGGGCCCTGCCACAGAGGCCCTCACCTTGACATTGTGCATGCTCATGAGGTTTCCACAGTGGTCCAGATACTGCTTCAGGTCACTGTCCTGGAACACAGAGCCTGGCTCAGTCCTGTCCTGTCCTGGCCAGGAGCCCAGACACAGGCTGAGGACAGGAAGGCCCTCCCTGGGCAGGGTCCAAGCCCACTCGTAGGCCAGGTCCCTGGCTCTGAGCCACCCACTCCTATGTGAGAGCATCTGAGAACTTGATTCTAGAACAAGGCTTGGGGCCAGGCACGATGGCTCACACCTGTAATTCCAGGACTGTGGGAGGTGGAGGCGGGTGGATTGCTTGAGCCCAGGAGTTCGATACCAGCCTGGGCAACATAGCGAGACCTCATCTCTACCAAAAAAAAATTAAATTTAAAAATTTTAAAAAATAGAACAAGGCTTAGGCCACCCCACCCCACCTTTCCCACTCCCTCGGGTTCCCACTCCCCTAGCCCCCATGCCCGCTACAAGGGGGAGAGGCTGCCAGCCCCAGCCCAACCCACCAGGTACTCAAACACCAGGGTGAGGGACCGATCTGTGTGGATGAGGTCATGCAGGGTCACGATGTTGGCATGCTTCAGGTTCTTCAGCAGAGACACTGTGGAGAGACAGGCCCGCCTGGGTCCCTGGGGCACCACGTGGCTCCCATGCCCCATGTGACCCCATCTTCCTGGGATCAGCCCCAGAAGTCTCCACTCCAGCAATGGCCTTCCACCCCTAGACTCCCACCAGGGTCCAGGCCAACGGACCCCTCCTCCAGAAGCCTCAGGGTGGAATGCGGGACCCCCAGGACTCTGTACCCTCTCGGATGGCGGTGCAGGGCGCCCCCTCCTCGTGCTCCAGCCGGATCTCCTTCAGGGCCACCAGATTCTCCGTCAATTTGCTGCGCCCTTTGAAGACCGTGGCATAGGTGCCCTGAGATGAAGAGCCCCGTTGGCCCCGGGCACATTCAGGTCCTGCTGTCCTCCATCCAAGGCCTCCCAGATGTGCCTCTGCCTGGGCTGACTTGGGCCTTCATGCCCCTTCACTGAAATGCTTCCTCCGAAGCCCACGTGGAGAGGGACTTCCTCTTCTCCCTTTCCCGTTATCCTCTGGGAAGCGTCCCTAGCGACGCCCCAGTCTGAATGGATTGCTCCTTCCTCCGGTCACGCTGGTGCCCCTCATTCTAACACTGGGTTTGTTCTTCCTTATACTATGCTGACAGCTACAGGCAGGTCTCCTCTTTGGGTTCCCTGAGGGAAAGGGCTGTGTCTTCTCCTCTCTGTAAACCTTCACCCACCCCAGGCCTCTACACAGTGACAGCAGAAATAGCTTGGTGACACAGCACCTACTATGGGCCAGGCATGTCTAACTGCTATACATAAGCTGATTATAGGAACCTTGTCAATCCACTCAGCAACCCCATGAGGTAGAACAATTACTATCTCCATTTGACAAAGGAGGAGACAGAGCTACACAGAGAGTCATGTATCTCACCAAAGGTCACAGAGCTAGTCAACGGTAGGGGCTGGGATTTGACCCCAGGTGAGAAGTACTTGCAGGAAGACTGAATTCTGTCCAGAGCACATGGGTTACTCTATCCTCAGGTCCTTGTTAAGGATCTGGGCCTATCTCAACCCCTGCCAAAGGTTGGCCAGGTTGTACAGCCAAGACCGTGTGCCTCTGTGGGGCAGGGGCCATGAGAGGGCAGATCAGGGCAGGCCGGGCGGCCTGGCTCCTCCTCCAAATCATCCTGCCTGGCTGCCCAGCGAAGACCAAACCTAGCTCTTACCTCCCCCAGTTTGTCCAGTTTCACGTATGTCTCCAGTTTCCCAAAGCCGATATCTGACTGAGAGGAAGAGACAAAGGGTGCTCGAAGGTCCCGACAGTCCCACAGGTGTGACACCTCCTCTTCCTCCCAGAGAAAAGGGAATGAGACCCCCATCGTGGAGAGGGAAACTTCTCCTTTTCCCTTTATCCCTGTAATCAAGGAAGGAGCTCTTGGAAGAGTGAGTTTTCTCCTCCCAGGAGAGGTGAGGGTGTGGGGCCCAGGGCTGTCACACTGGAACTGTGGCCCACCTTGGTCACCTGTCTCCGATTAACCCAGACTACCACTTCCTCCAGGGCAGGTGTTGTGTCTTTTTCTCCCTTGTACCTCGAGTGTCCAGTTCAGAGCCCACCTCCTTGACAGCCTCTCTTCATCAGCACACTTTCAGCCCGATGCTTAACAAGGCAGATTCCGGGGCCCCCACCCAGCAAGGCTGATTCTGTAGTTATACAGAGTGGGGCCCAGAGTCTGCTCTGTAAGAAGTTCCCAAGCAACTCTGATAGGCAGCTAGGACTGGAAAGCACAGGCCAACCTGTCGATTGATCTTAACCTGGTGGAGACCCTAGGGCCCAGAGTGGGCTTAGAGTTCAGCTCCAGCCCTGGTGGGACCCATCTAGGGAATGGATATTGGTCTAAGATGAGCTATTTGAATCCACTGAGACCAGCAGGTGGCACCAGAGGCCCAGAAATCTTCCTGGAAACCCCTCAGGCCTCACTCCAGACAGACAAAGCCGGGCTGGTATGTCCATGCTGGGGGAGAGGGTGCCCCACCCTGGTGACCCTGACCCTCTTGAGACTCACCAGGGAGGCACGGCGGGACATGCGGCTGAGCGGCCTGGGCAGGTCTGGGCTCTCCAGCTGCAGCTTCTGCAGGAATTCCTGGGGCAGGCGGATGTCCATGGGCAGAGAGAGCCTCTTGCTGATGTCCTGTGGTGACCAGGATGAGATGGGGACACCATTGTTGGCTCCAGGGTAGCCAGGGCTGTGGGGCCCTCACCTCTCATTCTGGACCTAACTTCTCCTATAGAACAATCACAGCAGGACCAAACGACAGGCTGTGACCCCAGGCTCACAGCTGCTTCAAGGATGTGCTTAGACACATACATACAAAACCCAGGTGTTGCTGTGTGACCTTAGGAGGTGCCTTCCCCTCTCTGGGCCACAGATCTGTATGATATAAATCTCATGCCCTTACAGACTGCAATTCTACAAGCTTATTTTTCATACACTTGGGCATGCATATGTGGGTCATCAGAACAATAGTCAAGTGGTCTAGCCGTTGTTATGTTCAGGAATATTCTAGGCACTTGGCATATGTTAACCCATTTAATCCTCAGGATGAGCATCTGAAAGACAAGGAGACTGAGGTACACAGGTTGGATAACTCGCTTAAAGCCACAGAGCTAATGAATGGCAGAGCTGGAATTTGAACCTGCGAGGTCTGGCTCCTTGGCAACTACCCTTGTGTGCACCCCCTCCTGGAGGCGCCCTGGCACCGCCCAGGGCAGAGCCCGGGAGCCCTCACCTCCATGGAGAAGCGGCGCTGGTTCTGCCGCCGCTGGTACTGCATGCCAGGGGACGGCTGCCCCGGCTCCTCCCCACCATCTGTGGGGGAGAAGGTGCTGGGTTCCGGCGGGGGGTCTCTGCCAAGAGGACCGAGCTGCAGGTCTGAGAGGGACAGGCATCAGCTCCCCTCCTGCCTCTGGGCGCTGAGGGAGAGGAGGGCAGCCCACGCGCACTCTTCCTGCCCTGAGGCCGGCAGGGAAGGGGTGGTGGGGGGGGAGGCGGGGGCACCGAGGAACCTGGGAGTGGGAGAGGCACCAGGGCAGGCCCAGACCCCCTCACCCTCATTCCGCAGGTTGTGGAGCTGGTTGAACTGCTCTGTGAATTCGGTCAAGGATTCCTCGATAGTCTCGGTGCGGGGCACTGACAGGGAGAAACGGCGCTTAAAGTTCTTCATCTTGTTCATGATCATCAGGGACCAGGCAGCCGGGTCCTGAGAAGGGAGGTGTGGGAAGGGCAGGTGAGAAGGACAAGGTTGCCCGTCCAGGTCTACACCCACTGAGAACTTGGCTCTCCTCCCATCGGCCAGGCATGCCACGGCTGCCAGGAGCCAGGGTGTGTCTTCTTCCCTTCCAAAGTCTGAGCTCCCTGAGGGTAGGTCCTTTTCCCAGCGACTGTCCAAGCCGCTCAATTCCCTTCCCTGGGGAGATATTCACCATATGTGCCAACAGCTCCAGCTGATCATAATAGTGGGTAGGATGTGCAGAGGACCCTGAAGGGCCCTCCAGATGTTAACCCTTTCGTTGCCAGGAGGGAGAATCTAGAGAGTTCTGGGGGAAGGGCTGGAGAGGCAGGGAGAGCACTGGAACCAGTGGTCCTTGGACCAGCAGCAATTTACCAAAGTGTGCTAGACTTGAATGGGTCAACTGCCAGTAAACCTCACTGACAGAGGCCCCTATGGGGAACATCAGCTTGGCCTACCTACACCCTCAGGACATGATCTGGTCCAAACCCCATTTCACCCTGACACTGACACCTGAAGGTGCCATCTCTATGTGTCCTGGGTCCCCAGAAGACAGGAAAAGACGGGAAAGGCTGCAGGAGGAGAAGTGTGCATGGGAGCTGGCCCAGCCACATCTCCTCCAGTTGAAATGTGGGGGGTCAGGAGCAAGGGCGGGTCTCAGGGGAATCATGGAAGTTTGCCCCAGGGAAGGGGAGGCCTGAGCCCTGCTGGCCTTTCCCATCCAGGGCCTTCCCAGAGTGCAGGGTGTCTTCTGCTGAGAACACATAAAGGGGATAGGCGGAGGAGCTGCTCTGCTCACCCCCAGGGCCCCTTCCCCGGAGAGAAAAGGCTTCCTCAGCTCCCTCGTCCACTAAACAAGAGGACTCCCAGTGAAATCCGTGCAACAGCTTCTTCTCAAAGACCCTACCTTTCCCCCACCCTGGCCTGAAAACCCAAAGTGGGGCTTCCGCTTCCCCCCACGGTTTCATAAGGGTTCAGTGAAACTGTCTCTCACCCTCCTCTGCCCACACTGCTCTTGGCTGCAGCAGAACTGGGACCAAGAGGCCTCACAAGGGTCCCCACCCAACGCCGACCCAGAAGGCCCCAGGGGCCAGCCCTGTGATGGGAGGGGCCACCTCGTACCCCCTCCCAGCTGTCACCCACACACTAGGCACAGCCCACTCCTGGAGGATGCTCTCAGCCCTGCCACTGGCCAGTACCTAGTTGCCAAGGCAACCAGGCCCCTCCTGAATCCTCCCGGTTTAAGGGATTATGGGACAGGAACATGTTTGCTTTGCTTAATGATGACATCTTCTGTCCTTAGCCAGCCTGGAAAGGGTCCTCTCCCTGGCACACTGCACGCTCCTGGCTGTCCCCACGTGCAGCTCAGTTGCAGCCCTCTGCCTCTCCTGAGCCCAGAACCTGGGGACGGCCAGCCCTTCCTCATCAGGCTGGCACTTCTCAGCGTGGAGGCCTTGGGCCTGCACTGCCAGCTGGGTACATGAAGTCTTACTCAGTTCAGCTCAAGAAACATAGATTGAGCACCTACTAGGTGGTGACATTGTGTTAGGCACCAGGGCTATAGAGGCAAGGAACAGCAGGGGCTGGTGATGCCTCCTTTGATGAGAAGGTAGTTGAGAGAATGTCTCCTTCCACCTTCCTTGGCACGGCCCACCAGCCTTGGGCTTCCTGAATCTTCATCCCTAAATTCATTCCTGCCAGTCAACCTCAGCTGCTCCTCTGAGGCTCTGTGCGGCATCTTGGGGCCTGCTGTCTGCAGAGCTCTCAGACAGGAAGCTCTCAGAGGGCAGCCACCCTGCCTCACACTCTTGTGTGCAGCGTCCAACCCACAGGGACCCAACTGGAGGCTTCATGATGGTGGCAGGATGGTATGGGTTCCAGTGACAGGAGGACCCAGTCACGCCCTACCTGGTGACTCACATTTCCCAGTATGACAGAACAGTGGTGATATCCCCATTGAACAGACCAGTTGTTTTCAAAGAGGGCTGAATGTTAAAATCACCAGGAAGCATTTTAAGTGGCTCATGCCTATAATCCCAGCATTGTGGGAGGCTGAGACGAGAGGATTGCCTGAGCCCACGGGGTCAAGACCAGCCTGGGCAACTTGTTGAGACTTCATCTCTACAACAAATCAAAAAGTTAGCTGGGCATGGTGGCGCATGGCTGTGGTTCCAGCTACTTGGAAGGCTGAGGCAGAAGGATCACCGGAGCCCGGCAGGTAGGTCAAGGCTGCGGTGACTGTGAGAGTGCCACTGCACGCTAGCCTGGGCGACAGAGTGAGACTCCAACTAAAAAAAATTCTGAGCCGGGCTCGGTGGCTCAGCCTGTAATCCCAGCGCTTTGGGAGGCTGAGGTCAGTGGATTACATGAGCCCGCGGGTTCGAGACCCGCCTGGGCAACTTGGCGAGACCTCATCTCTACAATAAATCAAAAAATCAG